ACTTGAAGCCTTTGGTCTACAGCAAAATTACACGTCACCCGTAGATGAAGAACTCGGGCATATTGCGCTCCGAATCATCACCTCTTCTGAGGTGAGCGAAGACATTGCTGAGCGAGAGCGAAGACTTTAGGTCAAGAACGGACGCAACCGGCAGTCAAGCGACAGAGGTCGCTTGAGGGAGCAGCTTCCCTTGTGAAAAGACTGCGAACCTTTAGCAAAATCGCTAAAAACGCTATCTCAATAGAGCTAGGCCTGTTCGACCGCATCAGGGAGGATAGTGCCGTCTCCCGCGAGGAGTGGAAGACAGTAGCGGCGGCTCAGTCTTCCGTAAGGTATTCAGAAGAAGCTCTGTGCCACTCCAAGGTGTGAAAGCGCCGCATGGCACTTCGGCCGTTCTACCGCTCGGGTGAGGGAGGTATGTAAGAGAGCCAGCGGCCAGAGCTGCAGGCTGTTGACAAAGCATATCTTCCACTTCACCCTAGGGCTCGGGTCTGATTTCCTGCTGAACCATCCTCAGAGAGTGAAATTTAGGAAATCCTCAGATACTGCAATCCGTCACTGCGAATGCATGACTGGAGAGTAATAAGGCTGAAGAGAACCAAGAACGATATCGGCAAGCAATGATTCTGCTAAATGCGGTGTCCGTCGGTCCTCTCAGCCAAACCAAGAGAGCCATAAGCTATGGGTTCGAAAGGATAGTCTATCCTTCGAAAGCGCCAGATATGACAGGTGAAAATGATCAAACGACCTAAGGCATAGCGAACTCTGTAGGTGGTTCCTCCAATGACGACTCCGTCCTCAGTTTTTAAAGCTGTTTGAGAAGATGCGGGTAGAGCACGACGTGGACGCTGAACCAGCGCTTCTGGAGGAGAGGAAAGGAAGGATTCTTCCAGACTAACCTCTAACATGTGAAAGCGTTCTTTTGAGGGCCTCAGCAACACGGATATGGTGACGACAAAGCTGAGGTGTGACAGTGGGGCTTTCTGGTTAATCTCTGCATACACGACATACAGACGCTGAAGTCGACACGCCTCTTTCATTGTTAACTGAAGCATCATGAAGAAGAAACTGTGTCATCATTGTTCCGGCGCAAACTCGCGGCATTCACTCTGGGGCAGATCGGACACCAATAACCGTGGTGAGTTCCTTTTTGATTTCATTGTTGGCGAAAACCTGTTCATTAGTAATAGGCAGGGAAGAAGTTCTTCACCTCACACTTATCTCAAGAATTACTCCATTGATCTCAAACTGGAGGGTCTGTGACGATCGCTCCTTGTCCGATCATAAGTATATCAGGTTCAGTCTAGTCGGAGAATGTCCGCCTAGAAAGTCTTTTAGAATTCTAGAAACATAAACTGGTAAATATACTGCAAGAAGCTCCGACAAACACTTGCGCCGCGGGATCATTGGTCTCCAACGACACAATGATTGGAAATGTAAATAAATAATTTTATAATAAAGAAATTTATTTATTTAAATCTTGAAAATTATCACAAATTTTATCCATTATAAACAACCTACTAAACCGGTAAAGGTATACTGATATTAATTTAACGTTTGCTTATCTCTTTATCAGTAGTTCGGTATCATAAACTAGTGCCACCCATTTGCCATGTATTGCCTCTTCCTGGTTATGCTATCGACTTTGACATATTATCACATATGAGTTAAATTTCCGTTATAATTATAACTAGGTAATACTGTCCTGTTGAAGTTTTCTACATTTCCCATTAAATTTTACAACAAGAGCATATATGAATAATATTTTGTGCTCTAATTGCCTTCAAAATAACCTAAATGCAAGTATTTTGTTAGCCGCTTTTCCAATTCTTCGAGGAACTCTTGGCCAGCATATATACCCTTGCGGGTATCAGGGCACGACATTAGTTCATCTGGGCCAGTATCACCCTTATGAAAGGCTATCCAGGCAGGTAGGAATGTAGTTAGGAGGAAGAGCTCTGCGAATGTATGAAAGTGGTTCATAGTATACGGTATATTAGACTATATGGCATATTAAATTACCGAAATATTTTTGCTGCGTTCGCTGCTCAATCAACTGCACCAAGTTCGGAATGCGCCCCTCAAAGCCGATTTTCTGCAGTGTTTCCTTGAATTCTGTGTAATAGAAATACAGCCACTGCGGGAAATTTTCACGTTGCTCTGAATTCAACAGCATATAGAACGAGTAAATTAAATCGTTGATCATTGGACCGACATAGGACAACTGATAATCCAATAACATTACATCCAATAATTTTCCCGAACTCGGATCATGCTTGAACATCATATTTTTGCTGTGGAAATCACCGTGGCACAACACATAAAGACCATCATCCTTTGGCGCATCGAAGTATTCCCTGAAGGAGGCGATGGCGCCCTTGAAGATCTTTTCGCGAACAGATTCAACAAGTGGTATATAATTTTGCATTGTTGGCATTGTCTGTAGTTGTCGAATTAAAAGATCAGCGCCTTGCGACATAAATTCATTTTCCTCAATTTTCGGCATGGAGAGTAGGCCTTGGCGATAGTTCTCAAAGTACTTAGGTTCCTTAAAAAAATTATGATACAATTATTTTACTTTCTTATCATGCTGTGTAAATACACAGCTATATGTATTTATATATGTAAATAAACTCACCTCTAAATTTATTTTGTAGCTTATGGCATGCCACTTGGCTAGTTTGTGGTAGGCCTGCTTGATCTCATCACTATTTGCATAACGGCCGCGCAGCACTTCATAACCCAATGGTACAATATCTTCAAAGATTATAATCTTTCTGGGGCTTAGCTCATGGAAAAGTATGCTGTGGAGATTTATCGACATAAAAAAAAAGACAATTAGTTAACAAAAAGTTTTGCAGTGTATATACGACTTACGGTGCCTTGAGTACTGTATCATCGCCGATGTCTCGTAATATCTGCTCGAAACGTGGTATCACCCGCGTGTACATGTCGATTTCAATTTCAAATATTGTTGAATCTCCAAACATATCCTTCTTGTGTCCATCCACCGAAGGCATTGTTTTCATAATCATCTTTTTTGTCTTCTGCCCGCCATCGCACTCGTACTCGACAACGGCACGAAACATAACACTCGCATAATGATCTCCTTTCAAAGTGGCGGGCGACAGTACCGTTTTTAATAGCTGCAACTCCTTAGCATCAGTTTCGAAATTGCGCAACACTTTGATGAAGAACTCATCGTTCAGCCACGCAGGTGCTTCCAATTCATCAGCGTTATAGCTTTGGCTATTATTTGGCGCCATTTTTTTGTTTTTTTTTTATATTTTTATTTTTTTACTTCCTACAGCTTGCAGTAAAGACCGACTACTGAGAAAAGTCTCGGCTAATAACTCACATTTATATAAATTCGACTGCTGAGAAGATATTTCAAAAATAAACAATTTCAGCAGCATTATTGCCACTTGAGTCTGTCGCCTATTGTTAACGGTGTGCTTGTATGTGTTTCGAATATGATCAGCTATAAGTTTAAGTGAAACACTGAAAACGAAAACAAAGTGAAAACATAATTTCTTAAATATGTCGGGATTCTGGGTCCTCACAGAGTAGACGCTCAAAGTCGAACCGAATGTGAAAGCACGGCTCACGTAATAATATTTTCCATGCCACCATCAACACGATGCCATAGTACGCTGGAGATGTCCGAATCCCGATTAGAGAATATATAGATAAGTAGAATATTTTAAAAAACGGAATTTTTCAACATGTCAAATTTACTTTCGGTTAAAAATTAGTAAGAACAGCGCTTAATTAGACCGCAGTTCGCAAACCTGGTCACTTATTCTACGGAGAAGAAAACTATTCTTTCAAATTACATAATACTGATGAAACTGAAGTGGGGTCTCTCATCCGAGGCTGTTGTTGCGTTTTCATTGGCGGTGTTTTTTTACGTGGCGGGTCTCAAACCCAGCGCATAACCCTATGCAGGGAATGTTTCGCCTTCTCACTTTAGCTCGCCTTCAAACGGATGTTCTTAGGCTACCCAGAGGATACTTGGTCAAGGACCGGAAGTCGTGAGCTGCTTGAGTCATATGTAAAATAATCGTTTCTGGCCACTCCCAAGTTAATGGCGATCAGAAAACTTTCCTCACTTGCGTGAACTTCTACACATGACTCCATCCTCCAAGAAGAAGATGAAATTGGTGTACCTGTGCAGACCCTACTACTGAAACCCTGTTCTTAATTATATTTACTTCGGTTTACTTACAGTGTACCATATTCTTAATTCTAATGTTGATGCATACACTCTTCGTTATAATATTGTATCTACATTGATATGAATGATATGAGATACGCAACACCCAAGCGAATTAGTGAAACACATTTCAATGAACATAAATATACTGTTATAGTACTTACATATATACAATTTAATACTTACTTAGAGCAGTTATTTATTTAGCATTTTCCTCACACGCTATTTCTAAACAAACGCACACGATTTATCAGTGTCAGCGTGTCTAAATACTATATTTAAATGCAGAAAAGTCAACTCATGACAGCTAATAGAGGTGCGGTAACGCATAGCGGTTTTTTGCGAACAAAATACACCTTATTAATAGGCCTGAGTCTATCTGTGAATCGGAATTTTATTTCAAAAATCATAACAAGTATTAATGAGCGCTTTATACTAAAGTAGCATAAGTCAATTTATGCTGTGTTAGGTGTTAAGAATTCTAATGAAAATGTCTTTATATTTCAGCACGATTTTATATTTCATCTCGATTTTAGTGTAATCGAAAGCTGCCAAGCGGTAGGGCTTTGATTAAGTAAATCTCCACATCAACTTTTACTTAAAATAACCCAAATTATCACAATAACTTTCGTCGGTGTAAGAGTTTATATCTACTTGAGAGTTAGAAAAAACGCATCTTTTAATGATTTTTTATGAAGATACATTTTAATCAATAAAAAGATGCGCATTTTTTAAATTTCCTGTACTTAAGAGTGATCTCGTAGTATGGTCATTTTTTAAAGGTTTTTGTAGATTTTTCTATAGTGAAATGGAAAAGTACAGAGCTTCTAAACATTATTATCACTCCATTGACTACCATGAAGAAAAAAGATTGATGAAGGATCTTCATGATTCCAGCAATTTTTTTAAATATTTTGAAGCATTAAAACTCACAATTTCATTTTTGCGATTAAATTTTTTATAAAAAAAGACGGTTTATATATTATATTTCTCAGAAATATTAATATTCCAATCTTAGATAGCCACATGAGCCAATTATTTTAAAATTATGAGGTTACAAAGGTAGGCTTCTCGGGTATAAAACTGCATTTTTTCAAAAATTTTTTTTGTCATATAAAAAACGAAATATTTTATTAAAATTTTTTATTGTTACAAACATATACTACATATTAGCAAAGAAATTCTGAAATTTTTGAATAAAAAAAAATTACGCCGGCGTTGGCAGGAGTCCTTACAGAATAAACTAAATTGAAAAAAACTTAACTTAGGACTTGGATCAGCTTGAAATTTAGGAAATTATTTTAGAGATTTTGTAGAAGAATTGATTTTGGAAACCTGTAAACTTAAATTTTGAGAGCAATCGGTGTAATCGTGGAAAAGAAAATCTGGGACGCCTATTCAAAAGAATATATGGTACTTTGAGAAGGACATGTTTGAAAACTTAAATGTCTAGACCACGTGTTTACCTTACCTTCTCACTGCTGTAACTACGAAAATCCATCACATTTAGTTAAATTACTTTACCAACACATGCCATGATTGCTTTACATTGGATTTATACAAGAAAAGAAACAAAAAAAATCGATTTACTGAAACCGTCCCACGGCATGACTTCTTTAATATTAAAAAATATTGTATTGCCGTTTTGCCTTAGCCGATAACTAAGTGGATCTCCAAAAACAGTTGTCTGGGAATGAGCAGGAGTTTTTTACTTAAAACTATCTTAAATACGAAAACAAGTAATATGAAGACAAAAAAACAAAAGTCAAGATTTTGACTTTGAACGAAATGGTGGCTTTTCAAAATAAAAGTGTTTTTTGTGCAAGATTTTTACTTCAGATTAGTTTAAAAATTTAAATAATAACAAACCCTCATCCGATCATTATCTGGAAATTTTATCAAAAAACGCCGTAAGAAAATTCAAGTCGATAGGCTTAGGCATTTCGAAAAAATCATGCTCACCGCTTCTGAAATCGGCGTTTGGAGGGAATGCGTTCCAAGCTTTGGGTGCGTTTACAGTACGAATATTTTGTAATATTCTGCATTATTATAAAATATTTTTAAAATTTTGGTACATATGTTATTAATGCAAAGGAATAGATAATTTGAAATTCGCAAGTGCATAGTAACCCTCAACTCATTTTAACATTTTGTCAAAATTGTTGTTTTCGATTCGCCATTTCCCTGTTTTTTGGCTTTGCGCGCTGCAAAGTTGTGCAAATATTCACATATTAGCGAGTTGAATACAACAGAGTGATCAGCAAACACACTCTCTTGTATCATTGTCATTGAACCGAAATTTCAATCTTTCTCTGCTTTACTGCTATCATTTTGTTTACACATTTTTGGCCAGTTTAGACATTGTGAAGGGCCCAATTGATAATTTGCAAAATTTCAAAGCCTAAAAAACAAATGTCTTCTCTCATAGATTTAAATAACCTCAAAAAATATATAATATTATGTTTGCAATATATCGCTCGACTCCAAACCAGTATTAAAATATATATATTTATCCACCAAAGAAAGAAATAGACGACGCCTTGTTTGAACAACTGCTACAATTTGCTCGAATTGCTATTTGTCAATCCTTGGCGAACCGAAAACAACTTTTACAATATGCGAAAAAATACTCTGAAACGATGTGCAAGTGCATTTAATTGATTGTCAAGTCTTATTTCAATTAAGCAACTGTGCTATGCAACTGGCGCACTCACAAAAATATGTTACGCACAGCGCATAGTTGGAGCATGCCGAAATGTAAGTACATATCGTCACAAAAATTGCAAAACAATGCATAAGCAAAAAATCAAAATCAAGTTTTTGTCAATATATTACATATAAAAAATTAAAATATTTAATTTAAAAATATTTCTACTAACATATAACCAATTTATAACCAATTTATAGCTGATTTGTAACCACTTTATAAGCGAAATTGAAACAATTAATTTTATAACATTTCTGCTATATTTTGCAAACTTATGAAAAGTGATGTTACTTTGTTTTTTATTTTACTTGACGATATGTAAATAGACGACAGTTGGTGTATAAACAGTTAATTACATACATTTTATTTGTTTTTACTATTTGTTGCGAGAAATAATTCAAGTTCGCATTAAGGCGAATATGTATGTAAATTTGTATAGGCAACTTAAGTGGTTGCAATTACAGTCTGTGTATTTTGCGCTACAAAACAACTTTGTATTTTTTATCTTAAATTATCTATAGCATTTAATTAAATACAGTTAACTTATGCAAAGTAAATAATTATTGTGATATGTGATGATAAGTGGGGTACTGACAGTACATATATTACGATTTTTAGCACGCAACTGAGTAACAAATTATATTTTTTTAATATATGTTATTAAATAATGAAATAATAAAACGCAATGTCAATCAGTCACTTTTTGCAATTCTATAATAATTATATATTATAAAAATCTAATTTTGACATATGCAAAATATTCCTTAAATAATATGATTTTGTCAGCATGGCAGCTAGGTATATGCTACAGGGGTTTGTTCACAACAATTTCAACGGAGATCTAACTGATACCTTGGCCCATATATTGCCAAATAAAAATGTTTCCAACACAAGCTTTTGATTCTGAACTGACAGATATCTTTATTTGTAAATACTATAGTTTGCCACAATAAGTATATGAAAGCATCGTATAAATGGCCGCCACGACTTCTTATGCAGGCACAAATTCGATAAATCTAATTTTCTAATAAATCAATTCCTATGTCATGAATGGCACATACAATATTGACTTCTAAAGCTTGAAGAGAGTCTGGTTTATTGCTAAAGAGCAATGACTTCAAATAACCCCACAAAAAGTAGTGTAATGGTCATAACTTCTAAGCGCCCATTCGCTGTCATAAACTCTTGAAATAATCGAATAATCAAATACTTCTCGTGTTAATTCAATTGTTACACTTGCTGTGTATACGTAGTCTCTTCTTGGTGAAACCAGACGTTGTTAAGATCAACTCCTTTCTTGGTTAGCAATGATCCATACTGTTCTCCATTGACAGAAACAGTGTCAGCCGCTTTATTTCGAAAAAAGTGCGGACATTTAGGTGAAGTTAGTGGCTGTTCATTAATCATTTGTGGATTTTCTTCACACCAGAATCGACAGCTTCGTTTATTTACCGCAACATTCGGATGAAAATGAACTTCATCAGAGAAAATGATTTTCTTAAAAACTCGTTATCGTTTTCAAGTTGTTCCAAGGCAAATGATGGTGCAGTGGTTTCAGTTTTCGAGTGAGAAAAATTTTATACAGATACAAGCCCAAATTATTTCTCAAACTCTGACAGGCTCTGATTTCAGAGAGTCAGGGGTTTTGAACTTTTGGGGGGAGAACTCTTCGCAGTTTCCCTCCCTCGTGGATCCGCCACTGGAGACACTCTCACTTCTTGGGAATGTGATGGAATCGACACTTACCTGAACGAGAAGGATATTTTCATTACTTTGTGCGGCTCTTTGTCCTATAAGCACTTGAGTATTATGTTAAGAATATGTAGGCGCACGACCACAAAATGGTGTAGAGATTTGCAATTGGAAATTGAATTTTTTTTAATAATGAAGTTGAATAATTTTTAAAAGTGTATACCTTTCCATGCTAAAAGTATTGAATACAATGAAAGAAAATTTACTGATCATGACAAAGAAAAAAATGGCTGAAACGACACTTAGAAATCATATCATCCCTCTTGGAAACCCCGGTAGATATATGCACCAACAGATGTAGATAAGTACTAATTTTGGCTTCGTTCAAATGGAATACAAAGTGATGAAATCTGACAAGATGACATGCAAAAACTTGTTTGCCATCGCTTATTTTATACGGACACTTTATAGAAGGGATTATAATATTAATGCTAATTAAGATAAATAGGGAGGAATCTAAAAAAAAAGGTGGTGTGTATATATCAGGTGGTTGAACAGTGTTTTTGTTTTTTTTTTTTTGTGCTGACTTGCAATTAACTTCAAAATCTGGCGAAAAATCAACTTAACCAATTAAAATTCGAAAATAGCCAAACACAAAAGAAAGAAAATAATACTAAAATATAAGCAGTGAAGTGGCAGGTAAAAAATATAACTTAGAGTCGCTAGAAATAATCTATGCTATAATAGCAATAGCACGCTTATGATTTATTGTGTGAGCACACCACATATTCAACATAGGATCAGACGTAGATAATCGAGCTTATTTTAACTCAGCTAACTACCGTTATTATGGTATATAGTAATATTGTCAATTTGAGTATGTTAATCATATGCGTTGGCTAAAAATTTGAATTTTACTATGTAACGCTAAATGTTCGAATCACGAGTAATAAAAAAGTAGTTACTTTATGTATATTAAATATGTATGTTCAATTTGATTAGTAGAAGGACACACCGTTATTAAAACAATTTTAAGGCAATACTAGGTGATGATTAAATTTTCTATTTTAAGGTAATAAAAAATATTGATTATTCCTTGTGTTATCATCTTAGCGTTTCTCCTTGTGAGCCCATTTATCTCACCACTCACTAACTTTTCTGTTTCTGTTCTGTTTCTGTTTTCCTTAAATGCCACACAATAACTCATTTCGTAGCGACAAGGATAACTTTTACCTAATTGAGCGCACATGCGATACACTCAAACCATGCTACACACATACTATATAATTGCATATATGTACGTATGTGCTTGTATATAGCTTTAGGTAAATCCAGCCTTTAGGTGTACCTATAGCATATATGTGTTATGTGTAAATAAGCAACCATCAGCGTATGCCTGCTTTGTGGTTGCAACAATATTTGCAAAATTCGTCTAATTATATGCGTACTTTGCAATCAATGCTTTGTTTACAAAGACATCTCAAGAATATAATTTATATGCAAATTTACCACAAACATACACAGGTTATTGACGCCCACTTACATATGGTGTTGTATATGTATAAAATCACTTATTAAACATAGAGGCAAATATACATACAAAAGTACACATATGCACGTCTTTCTCTGTATCGAATTTCACGATTTTTTATTTTTTTTCAAAGTAATTTATTATTTAATTACTCGCTTCGCATTCTTCTTCTGCTTAATTGGCGTAGACACCGCTTACGCGATTATAGCCGAGTTAACAACAGCGCGCCAGTCGTTTCTTCTTTTCGCTACGTGGCGCCAATTGGATATTCCAAGCGTAGCCAGGTCCTTCTCCACTTGGTCTTTCCAACGGAGTGGAGGTCTTCCTCTTCCTCTGCTTCCCCCGGCGGGTACTGCGTCGAATACTTTCAGAGCTGGAGTGTTTTTGTCCATTCGGACAACATGACCTAGCCAGCGTAGCCGCTGTCCTAAGAGAATATCATTAGAAGCAGGGCAGCAGTAGATGTAGCGGATGCCGGAAAGCGGCCGCATAAATATGTACATGGTTCCAGATCACAAAGGAGTTTCGGGAAACGAAGCAGCTGATTAGATAAAATGCCAATCAGCTACCGAGTAAGTGCAGGAAATAGAGATGTCACTAAGAATGAGATGCAACGAAATTGACGAAAGCGCTGAGAGATGGATCAGAGCGAGTTGGATCAGCGCGATAATGTGCAAAAGGCTCTTAGGAAAAAGCGCTTGCTTCTTACTCCCACGATCTCGAAAGGACTGGCAGAGGACTGTCGGCATTTTGACAGGACGCAATCTTTTGGCATCACATGCGAGCCGGATGAGCATAAATGATAACTATAGAGAATTTAATATGAGAGAGACGCTGGATGACATCCTATGTCTGTGTTCAGCACTTTCTAGAATTCGACTCAAATATCTGGTAGCTACGGAGTTGAAAGAACTGAATAAAGTGTCAAACGTAGACATCAAGTCGTTCTTAAAGTACGCAAAAAACGTTGACGAGTTCTACACTTCAAATCAAGAACTTCAATATTTTATTACTAAGGACCAGTATGTTCATATAAGGCATGTCAGTCGGTTAGCCTAACCTATTATTTTATGCAATGTTTGCAATAACTACTTGCTCTTCACACCGCTACAACCGCTTGTTGACAGAAAATATATTAGTCTTAACTACCTCGAGTAAACTTCATTAAGGGTGTATTATAGTTTAGGAATTTCAAAATCCGATTTCTTTTTTATACAACATTTCGATAGCTTAGATATTTAAAAATAACTCCCTTAAAAGCTTTTTCAAAGTTCAAATTATTTCTGAAGCTATAGCCAAGTTAAGTGTTGTATTCTAAGAGTTACGCCGCCTGAAACTTAACGTAAAACCCATAGACTACAATACGCTATTACTGATATATCGCCGTATCGTCTTCTAGTTCCAATCGGGGTATGTAGTGATGTTCGACTTTACAGCTGATTTTGTACCGGTTTTGTTGGTCAATATGTGTGACATTTTAATCGTGTCAAGTGAACTTATTTTGTCAATTTTCTTGGCTGCAAAAAATATTTTTACCAGCAATTTTTTTATTAATACTAATATTTCAACAATAACAAACAAATCGAAAACTGAAATTATTTCAAGCTGTTGAAGTGGGAGTGGAACAAATGGCGCCAAGTATGACACGATTGCAAATGACCTGTAACAGAAAAATTAAAAAAAAAAAAAAATTTAAATCTAACCTAGGAAGATCTCTTTCAGTTTGTTGTTTTTACTATTTTAAATAAATTTTCATTGGCATTATGGTTAAGTAATACTTTTCAATTGCATTTGCTAACTTTTTTCCTTAAGTCTAATGCATCATTCAAAGTCTAATGCTCTTCGAAATAACCCAAATGCAGATATTTTCGCATAAGCTTTTCGAACTCTTCGAGGAATTCTCCATCCGCATATAGTTGCTTGTTGACAGCATTGGATGTAAATGCGCCGTTTAGGTCAGCCTCACCACGACGAATGGTTATCTATGCAGGTAAATATAAATATAAATATATTGACCTGTCACTAAGCAACAAAAATTCCCAAGCACAATGAGTATATATACTATATAAATATATACTAATCCATTTATCTATGTTGCCAGCGTTGTCCATGCAATTGCAGCAAGCTCGGAATTCGTCCTTCAAATCAAATTTTCCGCAGTGTTTCCTTGAAATGTGTGTAATAGAAATACAGCCATTAAAGTCGCCATGGGTTCTGAGTCCAGCATCATGAAGTACGAGCAGATTAGATCGTTGACTAGTGGACCGACATAAGACAGCTGGCAGTCTAATAACATGACATCCAATAGTTTACTCGAGTTCGGGTTGCGCTTGAACATCATATATAACATTTGTCGTGAAAATCACCGCAATACAACACATAAATGGCATCTTCCTTCGGCGCATCGAAGTATTCCTTGGCCGTGCGCTTGGTGTCTTCAAATAATTTTCCTTGTATCGACTGAATAAATGGCAAATATTTTTGCATTTTAGGCATTGTCTCCAACTGCTGAATGAAAGCATCAGTGCCTTGCCACATTAGCAAGTTTCTATCAAGATTTGGCATAGCGAATATGGATATGTGATATTCGTCAAAGCATCCTGGTTCCTTAATGCAAATTAAAGAGAGAAAGAGTTTGAATGCATTAATTGCAAAGTTAATTTTTGTAAACTCACTTCTAAATTTACTTTGTAACTTAACGTATGCCATTTGGCTAACTTGATGTAGGACTGCTTAATCTCCTCAACATTTGTATAACGGCCGCGCAGCAGCTCATAGCCCAACGGTACTATATCTTCGAATATTATAATCTTTCTGGGGCTTAGCTCATGGAACAGTATACTGTGGTGATGAAAAAAAGTATTACAATAAATTAAGTTAAGTTAAGTTAAGAGTATTGCATTGAATATGCGACTTACGGTGCCTTGAGTATTGTATCATCGCCGACGTCCCGTAATATCTGCTCGAAACGTGGTAACACCTGCGTGTACATGTCGATTTCAGTCTCAAATATTATTGACTCCTCAAACACATTCTTCTTTTGTCCATTCTCAAACGGCATTGTTTTAACAATCAACCGTTTTGTCTTAAAATGCCCATCGCACTCGTACTCGACAATCGCACGAAATCCGAGAGTATTTTATGAAGTAAAAATTTTTATCAAAAAAATTTAAAAACACTCGAATAGTGATCGCCTTTGAATGTGGCAGTAAATAATTCCAATTTATTCATATGCAATGCGCAACACTTTGGTTGCCTTCAATTCATCAGCGTCGTACTCAATGCTATTATTTGGCTTCATTCTCTTGCTTTAGTTACAACCTATTACAGATTTTGGAAATGCCCGCACACTAAAAAAGATCTCAACTCATAGCTTATAGTACATTTATTTGAAAGCGACGGGTTCGTAATATTGCTACTTTAGAATGTTGCCTCTTATCAACTGTTTCTTATTAGGTGCATATAAATTAAGTGAAACACTGACAAGAAAACAAAGTGATCTTAGAAAATGCCAACCTTCTAAACGTATAAAATAGTGTGTAATTAATGCTAAAGCAGTTGCAATCTGATAAAGGTTTGTAGGCTATACCACAGCAATGGGAAACGGCTGTGGTTTTCGCGGCTCTGCAGTCTTTTAAGAATGGTTCAATATAGCTTATGACCGTATTACCTTAAATAATTGTATTATCTTTAGTGCTTACAATTTTAAGGTATCAACACTTTTACCCCTGCTCCAGACTAACTCAAAGATAAGTTACCCAGCGTTTACATCAACAACTTAGTACAAAATGTTTCCAAATAATTGTTACAATAAAATATTTTCAGTGTAAAATAGTTCTTCATTCTAATGCAAATACATAGAGAGCAATGTAAATAAATATAATTGTATTTTATGAGATGCACAAATTTGCTCTAAAGTGAAAAGGCAAAGCTCATAAAAGAGGTAACAACGTCATTTTCGAGCACGTAAAATTTAATATTTGTTTATATTACTTCTTTATTTAGTATTATTCACACATGCGATGCCTTCAATGACGTGCCGCCATGTCTACCTACAAGTATATATAAATAATGCGAAGTCATCACATGACAAATACAAGAGATGCGCCATTGCACAGTGTAACTTTGCAAGTTGGTTCGGTTAATTGAAAATAAAAATCCGAGAGTATTTTATGAAATAAATAAAAAAAAATTTTATCAAAAAGTGATGGAAGACTTGTTTGACGCGCACATAAAAACCGATGGAGGAACTCTGTATGTTCAATGTCAATTGAGTCAACCTAAAACTAAACCACAACGGCAAGTCTCGCTTAGGACGAAATAATCCAAGTTATTTCCATCAACTTTGATCGCGCATGCTATTCTAATATGAACTTTATTGATTTTGGTAATCATTGGAAAGTAGCGTTGCGCACAAAATATGCCAGATGCTCAAGCAAAGGAGGATTTTGTGGTGCAAATCTGCGATGATACGTCCTTTGACGCATGCGAAATTGAACTGTGATTCTTGCCTGGTGGAGAAGCTTCCCTGAGCTTTGTTGTTTATAAACCATTATAATTGAATTTAAGTGTTAAGAGCTTATATACAGTTAGAATGACCAAAAAAATCGATTTTCGTTGTTTGGAAATGCATTCCAAACTTTTACTGCGTTTTTTCGCAAAATGGAGTTTTCTATGTTGGTTACCAACAATACTCGAAAACATTGCTCTAAGCCAATTAGTCTCAGTTTAATTTTTAGTTAATTAATCAAGGTTTTTTTCTCGATGATAAATATTTTTTATAAACCATTTAGGGCCGAAATTTGGTCAAGAATTTTATGAGAAACCGTCATTTTGTCGAAAAAATTTAATTTTGCTTATTCCTTCGATTTGCTTTACTACATTGAACATTACTTTAAAGAAATCTGCTAAAATTGCAATAAATCTATAAATACTATATATACGACAAATCGAGATGGTATAAGTAGTCTTAATGCATCGCCCACTTTCAGGTGAAATCACATATCTCGCAACATCTGTGGACTATGCGATTATCCTATTTCAAGAAAAACTGTTCAAGCCTCTAAGTACCGTATATTTGGACTCCAGTACCTACGGTTGACCTTTTACCACAAATATCGGTCAATGTGTGAGTTATATAATTGAAATTCAGGAATAATAATTTCTTCATAATACTATGTCTGTGCGTCAAAAATGATTTGTATCGGCTCAATACTTCCTTTATTCCCTAAATACCTAGTACAACGATCAGGTGACTTTAATCTCATATATCGGTCAATTTGTGTGCTATCTAAATGAAAATGGGAGTGCTAAAAATTTGGCGAAAATGTGTATGAGTTATATATGTGTATGCTAGAGGAAAAGTCCACGCTTGACTGATAAATTCTATCGCCTCTCTAGAATATTGGCCTAAATGCTCAGGTTGATCCAAATAATTTTTTTTTTTTGTAAAAATGTCGACAAAAAACTAAAATTTCGCTTCCCCCAATATCTAGTTTATAGTCTTTATTAAAACACGTTTTTTTTCCTTTTTACTTCAGATGATCCTGTAAAAAGTTTTGCTGTCAATTTTGTCGTAATGACCGAGTATTAAAAATTTTTTTTTGTTTGTTTTTTGAAAATTGAATCAAATCTTTGTGAAATAGGAATTCCAAATAATTAAAAGTTTAATAAAATATTTTATTTTATATAAAAGACAGGTTATTGAAAATGGTATGATGTTTGTTCGAAAATATTCATGTAATCCTTATTGAGGTATCCGCGTACTCTCTTGCACAGATTCAACTTTAGCAAAAGCTAGAGAGAAGAGAAATGCCTAATCGAAGTCAAATCTTACGAAATATATTATTATATCATTGCATGCTATAAAAATTACTTGAAGTTCTACGTTCAATAGGCACTTTCTCTACAAAATAATTACAGTTACCCGTCTATTAGTACTGATCGTGATTCTAGCTACGATTTCGGCACGAGCGACCCACTGTGCGAAGCAACGCGCGTTCCAAGAGAAGCGTGTGCACCGTGTACTTATACTTACTTAATTTATACTAATCTAAGTAATTATGGCGTCACTTTTGTTGCTATCATTTGCCGCAAGTATTAAGACAAGTTCGCCCTTTGGGTATCTGCAACTATGTATGCGAGATTTAAGTGGATAGAGATAAGGACTATGCCTTTCGATACAAAACAACAATGTTTGACATCGACAACATAATTGTTGTAGACACTTAAGAAAATAAAACCAGTTGTGATAAAAAGTGACGAATAACATGCTTGTGTCAGAAGCGTACAACTGAACAGCACTTATCTGTTACAAAAAAAATATACGAACAGTTTAGTCTATAGCAGAAGGAAATAAAATCTAGCGCATTATCATTATTCATTTACTAAGTGCTGTGCTACGTCATACAAATGTAAATATTGACAGTTACACGGCTTACTTAGGACAAGTAAGGTAGAGCTAAGTTCGTATGACGAAAAAAACTTATAAGAAAAAACTATGTCATCTGAAGAGCTATCTACAAGAAATTTGGCATGGATTATTTTTGAAGGAAAATGTGTAATATTCGAAGAAATTTTTCAGTTCGAATTTCTAAAACACAGAACACTCGGAAAACATGTGTTTGTATGGAAAACTCTTTCATTTAACGTGATATTTTCACATGTCAAGAATTATTGTCTACAGCAATATTACATATACATTATCGTGGCTATCCAGCTTTACTTCTCTGCGTACATGATAAACAAAGCGTTACGTGGTCTTAAAACAAACGGTATAAACAAATAATGAAAAATGTGAGCAAAAGAAACGTCATATAATACAGACATGAATTAGACCACTGAGCAGTATTTATTTGACATGACTTGCAGTTTTTCTGAACAATATGGCAAAAGAAATATAACGTTTCTACGAAATACACGAATCTGTAATCGCTATCTAATAAAGTGATATATATTATGTGACACTGAAATAAAAGTTGTTTTGAAAAAAAAAATCAAATTTTTATTTAGTTAATTCGTCGCATGTTTTCACTGTGGAATGCTTGCAAACATTTGTGAATATAGCGCTTGAGTTGTTCGTACGATATATACTATATAATAATTGATTTATAATAATTTATATACTTGTATGTTACTTATGTTTATTATTTTATTTCTATATATATATATTTCACTTTCTACCTACATTCTATATATTAATCCTTGCTAGATATTGCGCACTATTGCTATTGTCACTATTGTTAGTTTTGAGTCCAATTAAACTTATAAAGAAACACCATGCGGAAGGCTGCACTGACAGCTGTAACGCGCATAATTGGTCTACGCTGCGGCGGAACAGGAAATAGCGACCGGCAGCCGGGCACCGTTAAGTAGTTATACAACGCCGTACAAGAAGAAAAAGAAATTATAAATTGTATCATGACGAAAGTTTACAAATGCAGAATACATAGAACGAGAAAATATGGTTTCCTAAGTGAAAAACTACAACAAAACATTTGTTTGTCAATTTTTATTTATTTCGTTTTTATTTCATCTTTTTATTCTGCATTTTTAATAATAACTTCTAACTTGCTTTAACTTCTTGATCAGTTACTTCCTCTAACGAAGTAAGTCGATTACCGCGCGTTACACACATTTTGGAAGAATGAACCGTCGAAGTGGAGTTGCTTTAACAGCCAGCAACGGAAACTTAGTCGCGTTGTGGACTCCACACAACGCGAATAGACAGCGGAGCTGTAGGAGTGACAGCTTTGCAACTCTAAGTGCCTCAACCCACTGTACATAACGCATATTTTTCTTTGTATTCTGCTTTCGCACTTCCTATACCTCCTTCCTGCTTATTATGACCGCCAACTATGTCAGTATTTTCATTATTTTATTTCCCTTTTTTACACTTACAGATGCCAATTTAGCATATTCTTACATATAAACATGCGTACGCGACTATTTATGAAATGCCGATGAAAAATTTGGATGTTACAATGCCACACTAAGTGTCAGAATCACAAGTGATAGAGGATTATTGGATGCAGATTCGACTGCTGATAGCCTATTAGTACGATGCTTGGGTTGATGAAAAATCCATCCGAGCAATTTGTTGCACACGCACAGCTATTGGTTGGATTTGTCTCTAGGCTTGGTATTAATATTAAATATTTTGATAAAAGGACTGATTTTAGCTACTCTACATATGTACTATATGTGTAACACATGCGTACATACACTCGTGGCCACGCAAATATTACCACTAAAAATGTTCAAGTATTGTTCATACTTGACTACACTTTATAGCGGTACTTTTTG